GATTGACCTTATGTTTCATCTTTTGAGCTGGTATGCTCTAAGTTCCTTGTTTTCAAATCTTGTGCACTTACCCTACTCAACATCTAACCACTCAAAACATTATGACTTTGACTAATCACCCAATCGATCCATACTATACATTTATCAAAAGACCATACCCACGACCCAGTATGCCACAAAGTGTAAAAATCATGTCAAACCATTTTTCTTCTTTATAAATATTCTTTCCTTCAACCAAATAACGTGATCAATTAAAAACATAATCACATAGTTTTTTTTTCTTAAAATTGCTTATAACTTTTCATATCACTCAACGAACTTCTAATTTTTCTTACACGACCTTTCAGATGTGTGAATGATTTGGATCATTGTTTGAATTGATACACTTTTATGTAATACTCTCTTTAATCAAGAGTGAAATCCATCACATCTTTTATGTAACCACACATCTTGGTACAATCAATCACATTCTACCCCAATTGCAACATCTAACTCATTTTCCTTGCTAAACAACAAGTATTGCAGCCAAACCAGCTTGACCCTCATTCATTCTTCATCAAAACACAACTTTCAAGAAAATACACTGGAGTAATCGATTATCACATGTGATAATAAATTAATCCAATAAGTTTTACAATCTAAAACTTTCAGATTATAAGTTATGCGAAAATAATCGATTATTCTAGGGAAGAGACTAAACAACGATGCTCAAATAATCGATTATCAGTCATGATAATCAATTATTCTAGATATCCAACTCTAAAATGACTCACAGATAATCAATTATCACTCAAGATAATCGATTATTCCCGAAACCAAACCACACAAGAGAGATTCAAAAGGCTTATATAATCCATACATCATCTTTAAACTATGTAAAAATAAGATTAGCACCTCAACCACACCTCCAAGCATCCTAGATACATGGAAAACACCTAGATACTTACATCATACAAAAAGAATCATTCAACACCCATCACTAAGCAGATTTAACCTAACATCACCAAATATATTGCATATAAACCAATACAAGACCCTTTACAACACAATATTCATATGACAATCTCTCAACCTACATATTTCTCATAGACTCAAACATCATATATAAACTTAACCTAACATCAAATTTTCTCACATATAAATTGTAAACATAACCTGGATAATCACTATCATACACTCATAGATTCACCCAATCCCAAACCTTAATTCATGTCTCATAATACATAAGCAAAACTTGTTCTTTCATTATCCAAAACCACCATCACACCCATGCAAATATCATAACCCTTAAGAGAACCCTATCATCATAAGGAAACCTCATCACATTCATGGTATACATCATACCATAGTGCAAGAAATCACATTCTCATGCATATCATATACCCTTCAAGGAAAACAAGAACATACCCATATTCATCATACAATAAAGACTTAGGTAAGCTTTCACATACCTTTGTCAATACTAGGACTTCCTCTAAACTCAAGATTAAGCCAACACCAAGCCTTTCACACTTATGGAACCTAGCTAGGAGTACCTTCTTCTCCTTACACTTTAACTATAACAGCTTGTTAAATTAAAATCTACTGTGGATTTCGATTTCTCTTTTTCTCACGTACTCATCTTTTCAAAATTTCAATTTTTATTATCTCAATTGCATGTTTTCCTTCCTACATTCTTATTTCTAATTTCTACACCTCGATTAATAAAAGAAAAAAAAAATTGCCCTTGTGTAAAAATATAAGTAAAACACAAGTTTCTCTTTAAAACTTCTCTCCCTAGGATTTGAACCCATATTCATTCAATCTTAGACAACATCTCTTCCAACAAACCAATACATACTGGTAATTACACACATCACAAATTCAACAATCATATAATAACATGTGTTATACTTATTAAGACAAAATCAATAAATAACATAAAATTTAAGTTTTAAATTCTACATTTTTCTCGGATCTTATAAATTACTTTGACTAATTGTTCATGTTATACATTTATCAAAATACCATATCCACAAGATGTACATACCAAACCCTTTTTCTTTTCCATAAACATTCTTTCCTTTAACCAAATAATATGATTCATTAAGGAAATAATCACATAGTTTTTTTTTCTTGAAATTGCTTATATCATTAAATGTACTTCCAATTTTTCGTACACGACCTTCAAAATATGTGAATGATTTAAATCTTTGTTTGAATTGATACAATTTTATATAATACTCTTTCTATTCTTCACTTAATAAATTTGTCAAATCTTTTTATTAATTATGTCATACTCTTTACTATATCACACTCTTTACTATAAAAGACGAAATTGAATTAATGATCCAAAATGTATTATTTCACAATTTTATACATCATAGATAACATCAAAGTTATGTAGTATTATAATCGATCTGTAGACGAAATTAAACTTAAAATTTTCACTTTTTCGTCAATAGTGTTATCCATAATAATTTTTAAGTTTAATAACTTAATTTTGAGGTTTAAGAACTTATAACATTATTGAAGATGCATAAGTCAATTTAAATTTAAATGACCGACTAAAGCTACTGACAAAACCAATAAATGAAATTTATTATTGATTTTCTAATATATATTATTTATTAACTTGAATGACAATTAAGAGTGTGAATTAATGAATTGATTTCAAGCAGACTTATTGTAAGCTAAAAAGTGATAATATAAAATAGTTATTTCATGATTAGTGTTTTATTAATTTAATCTTTGTCAGATAAGAGGATAATTGGGAGTAAGTGTGAAGTATAAAATATTAATTATTACTTATTAATTATACATTATATACAGAGAAGGAATAAAAAAAATCTAGAAGAAAAAAGAGTGTGAAAGATTATTAATTTATTAATTATTTTGGTCCCTCACGTGCATGGCAAGCATCGCATACCACGGAAGATTATATAAGGAATAGCCTCAAAGACTCACTCTTACACTCCTCAACGCTTTCTCATCGCTGATCAAACTTTAAACCCTAGGATTTGAAGGTATCTCACGCCCGTTTCGATTCTCTCGATTTTTCTTATCTCACATCTTTCTCTCTGCAACGTTTCCTCTTCGCGTTTGCTTTGCTTGATCGTATTATTGCGCTGCTCGAATTTTATTTTGCCGATTTTAGGGTTGATTTCGCTTTTCTTTTTTCTTTTTTCTTTTTTGTTGATTTTGTTTTGTTTTTGCTGTTTGATAGCGGGACTCAGTAGTTTTTGTTTTTGATTTTTTTTTTTCCTTTTACTCGGTTGTGTGCTTAGAGATATGTTCTATGTTGCTGTGCACTCAGCAATCCGTCTGCAAACCATTAATGGTTTAAATCCTGGGTTTCACTTATTCTTGTTGTTATTTTTAATTTGGTGAAATCTATAGGTTGGTTGTGATTTAAGTCAGTTTTTTGTACTCTTCATATTTTGGCTGAAAATTGACTTCATGTTTTTCTGTTGCAAAGTCTTTTGCTCTCTAGTCAAATCTGTTTGATCAAATCAAAGTGAAATCATATTTTGGTTTCTGTGATATTTCCCACCTTGAATTGGCTATTATGCTAATGCTATCATTGGGGGGGACCCTTTTTTTGTGATAATTTATATCAGTTAATGTTTCGTTTTTGTGCATTGAATAAGACTGTTTATATGTTGCCCCCTCCTTTCGAAAAGAATTGTCACTTTAGATGTTTTTCTTGTTTCAAATTGTCTGATATTTTAGAACATCAAAGCAATCAAACATGAACTTTTAAAAAAAAAATTGATGGTGGTCTCTTGTTTAAGGTGTACCACTCCTGCAAATAGCTTCTCTGCTTGTGAGGTTCCCCAGACCCAACTCCTCATGTTATAGGCATCCCATTTCTGTTTTCTTCTTATTGTTGTGTCTTGGCTTTTTCACTATTTCGAAGTATAAAAACGTTAATGGAGTAAAATGGTTTCCATCGTAGTTATGTTTTTTGACAACTTAAGGTAGTTATGTTTCCTGACAACTTACATTTTACCTGTCAAACTTTTATCTAATATTTTGCATGGTGTTTGATTCGAAATGAACTTTTTATCTTTTGTTAAATCCTTTTTTGATATAGTCTACGTGATTTGAAAAAAAAAACTGCAACGAAATATTTTATTTATAGTCTGTTTGTATTACCTTCATAAGTTGTAAATTGAATTAGTTTTTATACTCGGTCCTCATGGTATTCATTCTGTTTTTTAAACTGAGGAACAGGTAATATTAAATGCATTCATGTTTATATTGGTTCACAAATTGCCCCACAAGGTAAACGAAGCCTGAAATTTATCTTAAATGTAGGTGCACTGTACACTTGTGATGGCTTCGAAACGCATTACTAAGGAGTTGAAGGATTTGCAGAAGGACCCTCCTGTTTCCTGCAGTGCTGGTTTGTTTGCCTGAGATTGTCTCTATTGTTTACTTTCCCCTTTCTTCACCCTTGTGTGTCTTATTGTTTAATCCTGTTGTTTAATAATTCAGAATGATCTGTGCCTATATTATACATCTGTAAGTAAACTAATTAATATTTCTATTTCTGGAGCTTTTTTCATGAGTAGAAATGCTTTTCTTGTGTTCTCTTTTGACTCTAATATATTTTGTGTTTTTTTCTATCTTATTTATCATTTTGTTACGTAACCGGTGGCTTTTAAACTTGCTTATAGCTCTGTACTGATTTGAAGTGTTTTCTTATATACACTATTTACTTATCATCTTAGTCTATTATCTTCTAATTTATTTGTTATTTTATAACATAAATTGTCACTATAAAACAGGCCTGATAGTTCTCAAAACTGATTTAAAGTGGTTAATTAGGAAAATGCAGTTATGGTGCCACCATACCTCAATGATGTGGTGTTTTTTTGTGCATGCGGCCATTTGCTAGCTGCCAAATTCTTTTATGATGCCATCCACCATTTCTGCCACATGTGGACCACTTTTATTTGTATTCATTTTAGGGTTGTTTCATTGTTGGGCTTCAATTCTTCATTTCATTTTGTTCTTCCTCTTGCTGGCAACTTGAATGATAGCGCCAAGAGCTCTGGCAAATGTTTTCGTGTGACCACCTCTTTCTTTTTCTCTGCATGTTCTTTCTGTTGACTTCTTTTTTGTTTGTCTCTTACTGTTCTGAGTGATTGATCTTTCTTTGTCAATTGCTATTTTCTTTTTCTCTGTTATTTCTTCATTTCTCTTTTCTTTTTCAGTGTTTCTGCAACATTGACATCTTGTTCTTCTTGTGATTATTCTGTTCTGTTATCTTCATTTTTCTGTTTCTGTTATTTTTTAACACAATTTGTTCTCTGTTTTAGTTTTCTCTGTTTTCAGAATTTCAGTCCATCTTTCCTTGTTTTCTAACTTTCTCGATTAAATCTATAATGTCGTTTCCAGTCGTTCTCCCTTCTAGGACAATGTCAAGCAAAAATAAAAGTCAAGCATACTATGTTTTCTAATTTTTTATACTCTTTAGTTTAGTTATATCATATGTGTGTGTTTGTGTAGTCAGTTTGTCATGGCTTCTGCCCCAGGCCACCATGCCATTTGCTTGGTGTATGTGGCAGCGTTTTGGCTTGTTGTCATCCACCATTGGTAACATTCATCATATCTGGACAAGGAAATTGATATTTGTTTTAAGTGAAGAAAGGATACAATGATGGAGAGTTTAATGGTATGAATGTGTATTCAAATTTAATCTAGAGAAAAAGAAAATTATTCAAACCTATCTTTCTTACACAATCACTCCTATTTTATAAATATAAAAACGTACACTTAAATCTTGAACCTTTATTTTTTTTAAATAGATATGAATATAAATCCCCTTTTACAGATTTTGACTAATTTCACAAAATTCTTCCTATTTCTTAAACATTATACATTTTTCCTTTTATTTTATGTTAATTACAATTAATTATCTCTATAGGGAAAGATTGAAATTATTAATCTCTAGGATTGATTCAGAATATTATTATAAGAAATGCAGTAGCTTAATCATACAATTATCAAATAACTTAATCATTTGAATTGTTAGTAATAATAATAATAGTAATAAAATGAAAAAAGTTATACTATTTATTATTGAATTCTCGAAATTTAAAATTTGGTTTATTTTATCTTTTTACAATTCTTGACTTATTTAATAGCAAATTTTTTATCACGAAAATTAAAATAAGCCTTTTTCTTTTCTATATAAAATGATAATTTTTTTTATTAGTTGTTTTTTAAGTTACTCTTGTATGAAAATTTTGTTATTTAAGAATTTAATAATTTCACATTTTTTACAATAATAGAGGGATTTAATTGTAATGGTATAAAGTATAAGATTTTCTTTGTAATGTTTAACAAATAGAATAATTTTGTATCCAAGTTATTAGGAGCATACGATAGTGATGATGAGTAGGAGCAGCCACTGGCTGCTATTTAACCATTGTAGTGCTGCTGTTTAGTGTTTGCGATCACTGTGGCAGATTGGATTTGCGGCCTGTCATGGATAGTATGGCTTCTGTGTACATCACAGGCTTCTTTCCTGAGATTCTTGGCCAGGACCTTCTCAACCCAATCCTTATTCATTTTTAATTCTTTTTCCCCGTTTATTTTTCATTTGTTTTGTATTGTTCGTGTTCATTTTTTGTGTGCAAAGATTGCTATGTTTTTTTCCCTCTGTTCATTCTTCTTCGTAATTTGGCACTCTGTTAATTTTTTTTTGTTAATTACAATTATTTCATGAATTGAGTTTTTTTTTCTGTATATTTGCATATAATTAGTATTAATTCAATAGCATGTATGTGTGTATACAAAACACTATTTGAGTTTGAGAACTATAATGAGACGGGGTCTATAATATGGATATTTTTTTGTCAATTTTATGAAGAAAGATTTTGGGCATAGATGCATGTTTATAGAATAAGACCGCAAATGCCTAGCGATTAGAGAAGGGAGCTATTACAAGAATTAGAGGGTTGGTTGAGAGTAACAGAAGCTATATGCAGATTTGAATTGATTATGATGTTTTGGTCACAGCTTCATGTAGCCAAATACCACCTTGTTTGTATGTATAAAATATAAAATAACATTAATAACATTATATGTAGTTATTTACCTGTATCAAATGCAGCTAAAGTTATCTTATTTCTGTGGGAAGGATGTCACGAATCTTGTATATTCCATTCTTTATTAGGCCCTGTTGGTGATGACATGTTTCATTGGCAAGCCACTATCATGGGTCCAGCAGACAGCCCTTATGCTGGAGGTGTATTCATGGTCACCATTCACTTCCCACCGGATTATCCATTTAAGCCACCAAAGGTAACTAACTAGGCCTAAATTTCTTATGTGATACCACATAAGTATTCAAGAGATTAGTCGCCTTAGTTTCTTATGTGATATTGAAACTTTAATGTGGACTTTAGGATGAAATTGTCACTTTTCTAATTTCACGTATTTACAATGTTGGTTTTGTAGGTTTCGTTCCGAACGAAGGTGTTTCATCCTAACATAAACAGCAACGGCAGTATCTGTTTGGACATTCTGAAAGAGCAGTGGAGTCCTGCCCTTACAGTTTCCAAGGTATGAATGAAGCAGAAGAAGAGTGTTATGAGGAATGAAAGTGGATATTAATTGATTATTAATGAAATAATGTGTTACAGGTGCTACTGTCAATATGCTCCTTGCTGACAGATCCGAACCCAGATGATCCTTTGGTGCCTGATATTGCTCACATGTACAAGACAGACAGAGCAAAGTACGAGAGCACTGCACGTTCTTGGACTCAGAAATATGCAATGAGTTAGAAGAAAAACACCCACAACATATGCTTATGCTTATGCTTCTGGGGCACCCCTTTTGTGCAAAATATGTTTCCTCATGTCCTCGTCGGTACATATAATACATATATAGTGCCTTCTCCTTTCATTTTATAATAATAATTAAAACCCCGGAAACACTTTTTACCTATTAATATTGCCTCTTCATATTTTCATAACAAACCTTCCTAATTTAATATTTTCAAACTATTTTTCAAAAACAAAAGTAATTATTTATTCTGGTTTATCTACAATAATGCATTATAGAAACCTCAATAAACTCAATGTAAGATAGAGAGAGGACTAAATCTATAATATAGCAATTACATTTGACATAAAAAAGAAAAAACAAACAGAAAAAGATTGTACAATTGCTACGTGGTTTACTTTAATAATTTTTTATTTTCTTTTGCTTTTAACGTTTTAAATGAATTTTGATGAAACCAAAGTCCTGCACGTGCGGCGTTCTTGAATCTTTTTCCATTCTCGTGCGGCGTTACTCTGTTTTATATTTTACAATTCAAAATTTTTAATGGAAAATGGAAAAAGAATTAATGTGATAACTTGACCAGTCTATTATTATGCATTCGAATTAAAGATTAAAGTGTTTTCTTAGTTTCATGATATAATTTTCCATTTCCAACTGAAAATGAAAACCACAGTTATCGCCATCCGGTCTTAATAAACTACATTTAGATTCTTATTAAATATAAATAAATAAATAAATAAATAAATATGGCAATGTGTAAAATAATTTCATATGGCAGATAACATCTTTTAACTCACAAAGATATACTTGGCTCATGCACGTGATTTTTGTTTCCGAAATTGAATTCCATTAGTGTTGGCGGGAGCTTTTCCTTAGAGAAACTTTGAAAATATTTACTTTGTTTCCATTTATCTTCTCTGAAATAATTTTTCATCTTTCAGTTTTGAAGTGGTTGGTGATATTTTCTGTTAGTTAATTTGAAGAATTGTTTACCTAACCTATGTAGTGATGACATGTCTTGCACTTGATTAATTTGAATTTTTTATTATATTTAAAAGGTATGTCCAAGAAATTATGTCTTCATACATGAGCATCAACAAACGATGATAGTGAGCTGAAATAGTTTGCCAATTTTAAACTACATTTTCATGTTTAGTTGTTGTTTTCTCCAATGTGTTTTAGTTTCAATTTTCCATCTTAACATCTGAATCTATAGTATTCACATTTTTAATTTTGATTCTAAAATTTTGAAAACTTTGTTTTTCAACAACGGAAACATAAATTACTCATATTCAAAGATTTAAACACAATTTTCAAATTTTAATAACAAATAAGTATGTCACAATTAAATCACTCAATATTAATTATTTTTTAAATCACAAAATTTCACTATATAACAATTCTTATTTTTCGAGAGTACCATACCAATTCAAAAGTAAAAAAATTAGACCATGTTATCTTATTAATAATCACATAAAAGTAATGTTAAATTCATTTAACATATAACTTTGTACAAATTATCAATATAATATACAATTCAATTAATAAATATATTTAAATAGTATAAATATTGAACGAAATTGCAAAATACTAACAATTTAAATCAATAAAACACTATTTTAAATTTCATTACATTTTAATAATTTTAATTAATTCAATTTAACATATTAATTTTTATGTATATATTATTCCATAGTCTATATAGATAACTTAAGTTTACATTAACTTGTTTATTTAATTAATTATTTAGTTTAACCAACATAAACTTTTCACTCAAACTCTCCTTCCTTTTAAAGGGGAAGAAAATCTTATGCCTCCCCAACCAATTTCTAACTGATGGCAAAACTAACTCAAGAATTCAACTTCTTGAGAGTTCTATTTTGTTTGGTTCTTTCCATATCAGGGAAAAAAACACTTATTTATTTCTGTTACCTAGCTACTGTTCTTATTGACACTAAGAATTAGAGATAAAATTTTGGTGAGAGACAGAGAGGGGACCAATAATCTCTGAGTTTTTCCCGTGATCTCATATGCAGCTAAAGCATCACACAGCTGTGCACTGACCATACTAACCAATAAAACCAAAAGTGATGAAAGCTTCCAAAATAGCTCATTTTAGAGCACTCGGTCATCTCAATCCTGTGAATTTCCTTTTTCTGTTGCCTGTAAAGTCTTTTAAGAGATAAAGGTAAAAATTCATATATAAATTCACCTCTTCTTCACTTCATCAACCCACCACAACATGGACTTCAGACTCTTTATTCTTGCTCTTCTTCTGCTGCTACAGGTACACTCAATTTCTGTACATTTTCAGTTCTGCTATAGGATTTTTTTTTTAAATTTCATATTTATTACAAATAAGTGTTGGAAGTTCCACATCGACTAGAGATAAGGCCAAATTATAATATATAAGTGAGAGGTGCAAACCTCACCCTACAAGCCGGTTTTGTGGGGTTGAGTTAGGCTTAAAAACTCACTTTCTAATAATAAGATAGAATTAGGATAAATACAAACCTACGTAAAGTCAGGTTTTCTTAAGAGATTCACCTTTTATGAGTTATCTATACAAAATAACATGATGTCACATGTTTCATGGATTTTTCTTATATGTTACTAAATTTTATCATTTATATTGCATGTGAGAGTTTCAATTCTATTTATTTTACAAAAGTTGAGATGATTAAAATCTGACAAAGAAATTGTGCTTTGGTGTGTAATATCTCATTCCAGGCTTTTGCAGAAGCTTCATCCAACAGCACTGGAGTGGCCAGTTTTCTTGAAAATGTGAGTTATCCGAATTTTCTGCTTTCATGCATGGCATTGTTGATGTTATTACCAGTCTGCAATTTCTTTGATTTGTTAGTTCATGCATGTGGCTACCTAAATGAGTTTATACATCACATTAGCTGTTTTTCTTCATTTGTAAATAATTTACTAAGAAAAGTAAATATTGTAAACAAAAACATGAACACTGTGTTTGGTTACAGACAAATGGAGGAAGTAAGAAGGTGGATCTGAAGAACCAAGATTTCCAGTTGCACAAAATCAGTAAGTAGTACATCTTTAAACAGGGTCTTTATGATTGAGGAAAATAATACTGTTTTAATTCAAAAGCACTAATAAATTTGAGTCTTTTTGTTATTTTTTTTTTTATAATTTGAGTAAATTGGTGTAATTAATTATATAATAAATGATTTGATTTTGTGGAAGTAGATTGCAAGTATGAATGTTCTAGAAGATGCAGCAAAGCATCAAAAAGAAAGAGATGCAAAAGAGCATGTAAGTCATGTTGTCACAGATGTCACTGCGTGCCACCTGGTACCTATGGTAACAAAGATCTTTGTCCTTGTTATGCACGCCTCAAGACTCACGGAAATAAGCCTAAGTGCCCTTAATATTATTATTATTTCCATTCATGTCTCTTTCTATCTTCTCAAACCTAAGCGTATCCTTTGTGTTGAGAGTGAACTCTGTAATAAAATAACTTTTTTGTTGTATAACAAAGAGAGATTGTGTATCTGATCTAGAGAGTGTTTTGTATTAAATGATTAATTTTCCGGAGTGATTAGCTGATATCCAATGTGAAAGCAATGTTAACTTTAAAAACGAAGTTTAAATATAACTTGAAATGCTGCTTTGAACATTTTTGAAACTCATACAATTAGATGCTTAAACAAGATCATTAAAAGATTTTATGAACATGTTAAAAATGGTTTTCTTAAAACGTTTTGACAAAAGGCTAATAGAAGCAATGTACAAGTAATAGAAAGATAAAATGATTACTTTAACATTTATTTTGGTTCACTCTAAACATGAATTACTCTGAGTTCTCCAATGTAAACTATAAAGGGTTCCACTAAATAAACAAATATGTTAATAAGTATTTTTATTACAAACTTTATGTTGAGTACATTTTCAAATTATCGATTAAACTCCCCCCTTAAGTTTAACAACAACTATATTAGGCTAAGTATATAAAATTTCTTCAAACTATACAATAATAAAGCTTTTACAAGATTTCACACTCAATTTAGTGAATATGAATTACAACAATCATTGCCTAGATTCTAACTTCAGACCAACGTAAAATATATAAATGTAAGCATTTTCTATTTCAAATCGTTTGAAAGACGAAGTTTCTTAAGCAATAGAAGCTAGAATGAAAAAAATGATAGCTTAGAAATGTAAAAGAACTTCTCATGAAGGTTTCATAAAAAGATAATGTGTACGGTGAACTTCTATTTAAAACATTTTTAACTTGTTAATTTGTTTAAAAAATCATTAAACAATCCTATAATGTCTAAAAGGCCTTTTGCAAGAAACTTTTCCAAGCAGTGTCTACAATTTTATTTCATGAATCAAAGACCATCTACAAGGTACTAAACAAAGAGGACTGGGTACACTTAATTTATGATGACTTAACGTCAGACCTTTACTGCACATGCATTGGACCTACGTTTTAAGTTGAGAATGCAAACAAAATATTCTTGAGTACATAGGATGTGACAAGTGGATTGAAAGCCAAAACCATGCAACAAACAGTTACGGTTTTCTAACAAAACTAGTCCTGCATCAAAAGAGAACAGTGCCAAAGCTTCCCAACAACTTTCTTCCCTGCAACAATGGCCTACTGGAACAATTTATCTCTTCCACTTATGAGCATTGTGAGAATTGCTAGGTATGTGTTTTAGCTCTATTATCCATTCTTCAACTATTGTCTTCCTGCTGGAGTGTGTGATAGTTGGTGCTATCTCCTATGCTCCACATTCGGACAACCCAATTCGAATCAATATTGAGCACTATGTGAATATTGATGAACTAGACCCAAGGGATCTTAACCTAACAATGGCTCTAGTTGAATGTGTGATATCAAAATGTTTTCCACTGGACACTAAATTAACTTCCCGAAACTAATACGGATGTTATAGCAGTGATGAGAAGACGGGAAAATATATAAATGAGTGGAAAAAATCTGGTTTAAATTGATACTTTGTAAACTAGTACGAGAGGTTTATATATATACTTTGTAAACTAGTACGACAATTTTTTAATCCTACAATATATCAATTGTAATATATCAATTGTAATAATTACAATGGTTGTTAATATCTACTCAACCAACAAAATATTTCGTAATAACTCAACAAAATATTTCGTAATAACTCAACAAAATATGTGTTTTATTAAGGATTAAAATTTTAATCAAGGCAAAAATATAGTGATCACTTCAACTTTACTATGGGACAAGTACATACATTTAATGAATTAATTAATGGAATTTTTAACGTAGCTAACATCATAATTTACAACAAAAACTAATCAACCACCTATCATTTCTTCCTTGCAAGAATATCTTCCTAAAAATTTTGGGGATGCAACTTTTAATTTACTGTGGTGGATTTCATAGTCAGCTCTAGTCGTCAGCATGTTTCATCCGCATTATAAACAGGTACCTGCCAAAGTTTAGTGTTCTTTTTCGGGTCATCGGTGAGGCTAAGATCTGTCTCATCCTCCTTGAACGTCCTAATGAACGTTTTAGCACCCATCATTATAAGCCTCTCGATCATGAATAATTGATAATTGTTCTCAATTAATGGGTCCAATATATGGCTATAGTTTGATGAATACGCCAGTCTATACCTGCAATTGAGTCATAAAGAGTATAAAGTTGTACATGATAATTATTGCAATTTGGTTTCAATCAATCTGGACATCAACCTAAAAACAACACAACTTTCCTGTAGAAAATAAATAATAAACTTAAGTAATTGTTTTCCATGACTATTGAATTACCAGGGTCAGCCTCATATAGCATTAAACATAAATATTTTAAGAACTAAATATATTTTTCATTCACAAACTATTTTTGAAAATTGTGTTTCATCTCTAAATTAAATATATACATATTTCATCCTTGAAATTCACGTAAAATATCCTCCCAACAAACACTACTTGGAGATTATATTATAGTTTAATGAAAAATTCAGTTTGTCACATGATAAACATTTAACGTTCCATTTTCGGAAAATGATGATTTGCGTAACTTTCATAAAACTGTAGAGACAAAATACATATATATTTAGTTTCGAAACAAAACACAATTTTTAAAAACAATTTGGAAATAAAAAAATATATTTAACCCATGTTGTAATTATTGTTAATCTATCATGTACGATTTCTGAAGCAAAGGAAATTACTGCATAGGAATCCCCTCCCCGTTTACCCCACAGTGTGATCATGAGAACGGTTACCTGGCAGAAAGTGGTGAAAAAAACCCTGGAGTCCTTTCATTTGAAGCAATGAACAAGGTTCTTCCAGGTGGGACCCACTTCGCTATCCTACAAATAATAAACTCTGGTCGGGTGTCTCTATCAAGGTGAGGATGCAGGCTCCTCGCTACACCAAATCTATCTTTTCTGGTCTTTATATTATCCCCACGACGAACGTGGATGGCATCATAATCACCAAGTAAGGCTTTGATCTGTGAACAATAGTCAGATAAAAAATTAAAATGTGTAACAAAGAGATACTGTTTTATTGCAATGTCACAGATATAATAATAAACCATGCATTACAAGTTTTGTAATTTAATAGGATAGTCCAAGCAAATTGTCATCTCTTGGTGCATAAATAAATTTCAATTATCATTTCTCAAATATATATCCTTATTATAAGAGGAAGTATTTCAATGAAAGCTTAGATGGATCATCATCTAAGGAAATTGACGACTTGCGAAACATAATATCCTTTAATCACGTACTGCAGAAAAAGTGATTACAGAGTTTTCACTTTTATTCAATGAGTGAGACAGATATATAGTGAATACACAGTATACCAAATAGTCAACTGCTTAACAAATATTTATAAAATGAACATACAAACGAAAAACCAAAAAATAGTATGTTAACTATATTGTGCCTCCAAATGAAAATTTCTACGATCAATTAAGTAATTTGTTGAAACAATCAAGCAACCAGAAGATCTATATGATTGTGCCTAGTCACGTTAGTTATACATCATTTAGAAGTTACACATAACAAGGGGTTAGTTTCTATGCAGTTTGCTAGAAGACTCACAATAAGGCAAATTTATATTATATAAGTGAGTGCAAACCTTATCAAGCCGGTTTTACTAATTCCATTTTTTAACATGGTATCAGAACCATGATTTAGAACCTATTTTAGCGAAATTTATTGTTTGTTGGACATATTGTTCCATCAACTATCGAGTCGCTATTGGACCACTTATTAATGTCTTATCTCACGTTTGATATTGTTAGAAGTCCTATATCGACTATAAATGAAGTCACTTTATACTATGATTGTGCCTAGTATAGAATAAATGGGTGCAAACCTCATATGACAAGCCGGTTTTATAGGGTTGAGTTAAACTTAAAGTTCACTTCTTAATATAGTTAAGTCCACTTATTGCTGACATGAAACAAGCTAGCTCAAAAAAGGGATACATGCTCAAGGTTAGGCTCAAGAAATCCTCTAGAGTGCAAGTATGCAACCTTCATTTAATCTACTAACCATGAACGCATGAGAGCCTGGCCCAGCATTTCCCCTTGAAATAACTCGTTTAGGCACTCATTGAAACAATATATCCCAATCCAACATGGAATACCAAAACATATCAAAGTTCTAGCACTTGCATCTCCAAACAAATTATAAAACCTTTGATGATTAAGGAACTTTAAAAGACAACATAGTAGATGGACCTTTTCTGCTGCTTCTCTAAGTTTCCCAGCAGCCATTGATGGTAGAAATGAATATGGCAACAATATGGAACTGCGATTGTTTCGATCCTTGCACTCCATAAACCTGGGAAGTCATTAGCACCTCAAAAAATGGACAAAACTTAAAGAAAAATATCTTTCCAAGGTATATATAACAATTAACTTTATGAGCAATCATCTACATAGTAGCATCATTATGGCAGTTATTCCAAGGCAAGAATTGTAAACCAACTTGGTTGTGATGTGATACAGTTAAAACTTGTCAACTACATTGGGCACATTTTAAACTCATGTACATCAGTTTTAATAGCTCAGAAGTTCTTAACTTCCTATCAACAAAAGTTCTGCACTCCTACAAGTTTAAATTGAATTCCTTTAACAAGAAAACATACACTAACTACATAGACATTTAACCTTTCAATGTGAACTGAAGGTGAAGACACATTAATGGGGATGAGAAATTTCATAAAGGTCACAGTTACATAAAACGTGAAAATAAGGACTATCATGATCATACTTGCATCTTGAGAGGCATAACAAATTGAATACCGAAAAAATGTACTTTACTCCCAGCTAAAAGGAAATCATTATTGTTTCTTGCATAAATTGACTAAAAACACCAAAATAAGATTCATTATTCCAATTTACCTGCTACACAAACCAACCTTATTTTGCAACGTAATAAAATAAAGGGTAAATTATGCTTGTAGTTTCTGTCAAATGGGGAAACTAACAAAAACATACTCAAAAAACATTCTTATTAGTTTAGTCCCTATGAAATGTAAACATATTTTTGTGGTCCTCAGCATTAACAACGGTGGAGAAAAACAAAACATTGCTAACACAATCTCACGAAAGTCCTTCACCGTTGGAGATTATGCTCTATAGAATCATTCCCATACCACCAGCTTTCTTCACAACCAACCCTTTCGTAATCCCAAGGTTACTTCCTGTATCACCTTTACCCCAAAGGTGCCTGCTCATATTGTTTGTTAACCAGTGTGAGATTGATCACTAACATTTCACTTGGTTTGTTGTTGCAGGCAGAAGAAGACATAAACACTCCTCTAGAACAACAACATAGGATCCAATTGTGATTGGCTTGAGGTAATACGACAAGGGAAGCCATTCACGATTCCTGAAGTGCCCTCACATATAGGCTTACAAGGCATAGTGCCTCGTGGCGGTGGTTGCAATGCAGGTATTGTGGCCATCTGTGTTGTAAGGGGATGCACCTGCTTTGTGACCTTTGAGAAGAATTTGGCATTGATGAGTTTGCACTTTCAGTTTTTGGGAGAGAATTTGGCACAAACAAATTCAGACACGCATTTTCAGCATTGGGTACAGGGCCGAGTTTCAAATCAGAGAAGTTGATCCACTCCAGCCAGACACTGGTGTCAAAGAATGCAACAATGACGTAATCATAGTCAAATTTGGATTAGAGGCCGAGGAACTGCAGGTGGCAGTGTGGCAAGAGTGGGAGTTCATTAGCCACATTATGTTTCCGACCACTGCCATTAACGATGAGGACCGCAAAAGCTATAATTATATTCTATAGGGACTAAACTAATACAAAATCTTTTTTGAGGATGATTTTATTGACCTCTGTTAGAATGAAATCAGTTGTTACAGATTTCAAGAAAATTAAGCATTACATAATCTAGGAAATTAGGATGATTGATTCCTAATTATTAGATGTATTTATTATGATTGATTCTGTATTATGCTATAAATACATTCTATGTGGTCTGCATTAGACACAATACATTCAGAACATATACAATTCTATAACCTCCTTATTTTATAGGAATTGAAAGGATTAGATAGATTGTTTTATGTTAATTAGGGAAACATTTGTATTTGGGCTTAATCCAATTTCTCATTATTATAAATATATTACCGCATGTGTATTTGCTATACAAGGGAGATTAATCCTATATTTAATTTTACTATATTCAATAGAAAGAATAATTTACCCTAAAATAAATTAACCATAATTCTCCTTTTAGAACCTACCAAGAAAGAGGACTTGCAGTTCTGTTTATGAGCAACATATCAGAGTAGTGGCTATTTTCTTTAAGATCGAAACGACTAACACCTTCCACATGTTCAACACCTCTGGTTCCCAACTTCATGCTTGTCGATAGAACCCTATACCACTCTTTTGAATTGTCAAAAATCACAGGAACAGTACCTGACATAAGTTCTGTGTCATATAAAGAGTCCATGGCACAAGAACTTGCATCCCACCTAGCATATTAAACAAAAAAATAAATAAGACCAGTTAATTCAGATAGCATAGCAATGGAAAGGTATAAAAGACACATATACTAGCAATAATGCTGCAACTCACAGTTCTTCAGAGCTACCATTAGCGGAATGGTGAAGAATGCCTTTCTTGTTATGTATGGGATTGATACACATCCTTGATGGCAACACAAAAGTTCTGCAATCACCACATAACAACTTAACTCATTTTTTGCAATTCAGACCTTTCAGTTGTATTAATTTAAGGCTTTATGTTATTGTCCCAAACAATACACTCTCTCTTCTTGGCCAAAATTCACTTAAATCACATAGTTACATACCTTAAATAAAGACATTACTGCATCCATAAGATTTGTTTCAGCAAATGTTATGACACGTGGTAGAAATCCAAGAAGAGAAAACAAAGAAATAAGAAAAATTAAATTAAATTGAAAACTGAAAAGACAAAACCATCAACTTGGCTTAAATACTATTGTTGAGAAGGAACAAAGTCGTAACTAAGGTCGTATTTGAAAATTTTCTCCGTAAGATATTATAAAAGAATAAATTAAAAGGTAAAATGAATTGAATTTCTTACTAACAACTCTCACTTCTTACATAGTGATTTAACACTCTCACTTTTAATAAAAGGAACTTTTACAGGAGTTCTCTTGTAAGAGTCTGAAAATAATAAGGATATTGGGCCTTATGTTGAGGCAGTCAGCCCATAAGCTAAGGACCCATGACCTTAGGAAGGGGTTTTCTAAAAAATCAGAATTCCTTCATTTTGCCAGCTTTCTTTCTCTCTCTAAAACCCTTGCCCTAAAATTCTCTCTGCCTCCTCTCTAGATTTTCTCTTCACTGAACCGATCAAATTTTGATTTGAAGGTGTTTTCGCGCTCGCTGCACCAAGGACTTCAGTTTGAATCGAACGTTTTTCCATTCCAACCGGTAAGTGTTTTTTTCCCTTTTCTTCAACCGTTCTTGAACTTAAGCCATGCAACTTACTGGTTGCCTGTTATTGGTAGCTTTTCCTTTAGTTTCTCTGTCCCTTCCAACTCTAAGAAATGTGCTCTGCACCAATTTTTGGTGGCTTATAGGTGCTGTCAAACTCGCCTATGTGAGGAGGTACTGCTAGACCGTTCCTAGGAGTGGTACTGTTAAGCTTTCCAGGTAAGGAGAGCTAATTATTTTTGTATGAATTTATTTTATAAAAAATATATGCATATGAATGTTGAACTGGTGTGCTCTTGTGAAACTGTTTTATGACTTTTATTGTATTGGGTGTTATAACTGAAACTGTGAAATTGTGCATGTTGTGA